GGGGCCTGGTAGCTATTAAGACCTAGGCTCCCGTGTTTGTAGGAGTATAAAAATAGCCTATAAAAAGACTAGTTTTTGCCATATTTTGTAAAATAAAGTAAAAAGCAAATAAGTGTGGTTATATTCAGTTCATTTTTAAACATCGTTCTGAACGTTAGTAAAAGCAGACAAGTACTTTACACAATTTTAACAAGGTGAAATCACCCCAAAGACGTTATGGTTAACCATTGGTATTTCGATACATAGTTTCCCGAGAGATATTTTTAAAAGGTTCATGTCAAAGCAATGAGACACGGGCTTGGAAAAATAAAGGATAATAAATATTTAACTAGTTCCGTTTTCAAACCTTATAATGTATTAATCTTGTCACTTACCAATACATTGCATTTAAAATGTCATGATACGACATGATAGCCGGGTATCCGAACTTGTTACCTGCTTTTTTCGAACTCGCCATACAATAAATGTTATTAAAATTGCAACGATTTTTGGTCCCTTTTTGTGAGACTCAAAACGACTTATTTGTTGCGAATCCCATGGACTATATCGTTTGAAAGCCCGAATTTTGCACTTTATACTCGTGACCGTTGCTAGGCAACCCGATAAACACGCGCTAGACAATCGTGCCCGGAAGTTGACGTGTCATCCAGGGCGCATGAGGGCGCAATGAGACTTACCCCGTTCCCAATTCCAGGGCGCATGGGGGCGCAATGAGACTTAATGAGTTAAAAATTACATATTTATTAATAGTACATACACAAAAAGAATATGAATGGATCAAAAGTATGCACTACAATTTATTTCTTACTGTATCTACCCCTGCTCGTGAACAAATTGTACTTTCAGTGAACTCTTTTATTGTATGTTTGTAAGATGATGAAAAATGGCTTGATTTGATTGAAGAAGTTGACAATGATCAAAGAAATGCAAAATTAATAAGGTTTATGCACCCAAAGTGCATCGCAAGATCATATTTCTGGCCAGTAAAAGAGAATACTCGTTAGCGATTGACCGATAATTGCGTCGTCTACTCGTGTCAGCCATACGTTTCAACGGAAACTCTTAAACATCTTTATCGAGCTTTAGTCCAACCACACTTTGATTACTGCTCGATGATTTGGGGTAACTGTGGCGAATCTTTAAGAGGCAATCTTCAGAAACTCCAAAACTGAGCTGCAAAAGTTATTACAGATGACTCATATGAAATACGCTCCATAGATATTTTAAAGAAACTAGATTGGAAAACGTTAGGTGAAAGAAGGATGGAGCAACAACTAAAATATGTATCAAAAGAACTTACATGCCATTTTCACGAAAACATTTCGGACATGTTTAAACTATATAATTCAGATCGATATGAATTAAAAAATAACAAAAATAAGTTGATGTTGTCGAAGCCAAAAACAAATTCAATGAAACAAACTTTCGGTTATGCTGCCGTTAAAGTTTGGAATGAAAGAAATAAAATTTTTATATAATTTTATCTGGGTGGGGTTGGAATGAATAATAAACTTTGAATGTCTTTCTAATATTATTTGGGTGGTTCGGGGAGGGTGGGTGCATGGGAATCTCTTATACTGTCTGTAAGTACACGGCCTAGTGAAAAGTAACGACAACCTTGCTAATATTTTTGTAGTTGATTAGCTACCGTGTTACAAGATGTTTTAATAAGAAAATAAATAAAAAATTATAATCGGAATTGGACCGATTTTTGCTTATCGGTAGACAATCGGAATCGGTAGAATAATTTGTATTTTTCGATTGTGTAAAACCGATTGTTGAGAAAATACGCACTTTAAAAATCATATATATTGTGCGGTGATACACGTTGAATGCACTTTTTTATGTGAAAACAACAACTGTTTAATCTCTTGCGCGAACGGTAGCGTGTTGCTTAGTAGGTGTGGAGCAAACCGTTAAATGATACGTGAAGCGTGTCATTTATGTACAGGTTTAACAAACTTTGGTTGCTACTAATAACATGTTATACGTTGGAAATTATCATTAAAATCTCGAAATGGATTATGACGTCATAGAAAATCAGAATCGGGTATATTATTGGATGAATAATTGATAATTATTGGTCAATCACTAATACTTGTTGGGTTTCGGATGAGAACATTGTTTCTGACATTGGTGTCCCGAACAATAGTCACTGGGAGGCAGTACAAACTGACCAAGAAGTCTTACGCACTTCTCTATATATATACTGCATCGATTTTGATCAAAGGCAATTTGATACAAGAAATAACACTTACTCTGGGAGAACATAATGTACTATTAAAAAAGAATGATAGAATCAAACATTAAAGTATTTGGCAGTCTCATTTCTCAATGAATGTATTTTATTCTTAACAAACACCCAAAACGTCCTATTAAAGTTATTTAGAAAATATGACAACTTTAAAGGGCTCTACTTTTTAAAGCAGGCAACTAACCATCACCAAATTTTGCTTAAAAGTAGAATAGCATGTGGATATGATGTTGAATAAAAATTACTGTTGTATCTGTATGGCTTCCATAAAAAATTTTCCAATAAAGATGACGTATATTTCGTGTCTTCAGAAACACATAATTAGACTTTTTGCTGTGCCATAACACATTACTGGTTGCAGATACAAAGATGAAAGTGCAATATTTGAAATCTCCGCATACAAATACATCTTTGTGCAAATTTTGATGGATATACCATGTACAGGTATGAAGTTACAGGTCAAAATGTAAAATAGGGTAATGGTGAATTTAGCACTGGCCACGCCCACTTTTTTGCTTTTCGGGCCATATTTCAAATTGCGATATCTCAAAAACTATTGCAGCTACGATGCTCAAATTTTGAACTTAAACTATTCCCACACAATGTTAACTGCCTGCGAAATATAAAGAAATTTGGAGAGGGTGGGTGTCATGCCTGTGTTGAAATGGCATGGAATTACTCTAATTCTACATTAAAGCATTCGATTTTAATATATAATTATCTATTTTTAACTACTCTCATTCGGGAATATACTAACAATACCCTTCACCTTAAAAACTACAATAAACTATTGTTTTTATGTCAAAACACACCGCATATTAATTAATTATCATACCATGCCATCCAAAGCGTGATTTATAGTCATTTCAATGTCTCCTGTTATATTTAAATCTCTTTCGACGTCGTCTCGTTCACACCCAGGACATAAAGACATAACTTGTTCAATCATTCCCTCCATAGTGATAAAAATTTAGCTAAAATCTTTGTAAAAATATTAAAAATGTTCAGTATAAAACTTGATGAAAATAAACCGCCATTTTAAAATCCCGCGATCTAAATCACGCGCCAAAATACACGCATAATCCACGCGGGATAAATAGTGTCTTCCACGAAGTGCGTGGACGGATCATGACTGAGATTGGATTGGCTAAAAACACTTCGATTTGTTTGGCTCTTGAAAAAGATTTTTCCTTCTTTCTGAAAATTGACCAATCATCTTTAAATCCAAAGCAGGTAATTCACTGACATTGGCAAACTTATAAAAATGTTGACACTTTATATAGGAGCAAGCGTCTCTCAGTTAAATTTCATTACTTCCAAAAACTACTCCTTAAAATGAAAACAACTCAAATTATTTTCTCACTCTGATAACTGCAGGTTGACCACCATCTATTCTGCTGCACGATAGTGCTTATTGAAAGCCACTTTAAAATCAGTCACTTCACTTTTTTAAAGACACAAATTATCTTCCAGAAACAGTTCATACAAAATATTTTATGAAGCTCAAGTACCCAAAATTTTCTCTAAAATCTATATTTCATTTTCCTAAAAAACAATTACGTGCAATTGTGACCGTTTTATAAATAGCCAGCCTAAAATTTATCTCAACACAATGTGCCTGAAAAGGTTATGGTTCATTGAGAATTTGCTTGTTTGCAAGTCACAGTTTCGACATATAAATTATGTAAACATTTAATCCCAGCACAACTGAAACTGTCAATTGGTATATTCTCATTTGTTTGTTTCCTGTGCGATCACTATTTCCCATAATTCATTGCTAGCCGGTGTTAATTTAGTAACATTATCTGGCAAAGGTTCCAGCCTTATGCCGTGAAATCGCGTCCTTGTATTTCCCTCTTGTTTGTTGCGAGTCTGAAATCTTAGAAACCCCTTCTTGTGAATTCTGTCTTTGATTGTTATTCTCCATCAAGTTCGCTTGGGATTCGTTCTGATTATTATTCGTCAGGTCCAATCCTTCATTTAACCTTAAAAGCTCCTTATGTGAATCCTGTTTTCCACTTTTATTATCCATTAAATCAAATGTCAAATACCCAATAACCCAAATATAAAAACGTAATTAGCGCTAACTGTAGTTAGCGTTAATCACTGTAGTTAAATCCTTAACTGTAATTAGTTAAGTACATGACTTAACTGCGTTGCACAAAACGTAGTTAGTCGGATAGTTAACTAATCACGTAGTTAACTGTGCGTGGGGCTTGAGTGGGGCGTTTAAACATAAGATTACATAAAGTAAGCAGGGAGTAACGACCGCTGACACGCATTTTCAACATGATTGTGGACTCGTATACGAGCTCGAATCCGAGCTCGATTCCGAGCTCGAATCCGAGCTCGAATCCGAGCTCGAATCCGTGCTCGAATCCTTGGCTCGGTATATAGTATATCTCAACTATTAGGCCATATAAAACTAGGTTACCCACAGGGCAGTAATGCTGCCTTTGACAGCAAAAGACAAACTACAGGGTGTTGAACGAGTCCTTCAGAAACATCCTATTTATTGGCAGTACCCTACCACTGACTGAGTATTAAAAATCGTCTGGCGTTGGACAGGGTAAATACTAAAGTAGGGGCCATTACTGTGTTGATGAATTAACAAGAGCCATTGGCAAATTAACAAGAGCCATTGGCAGTTTGTTAACCCATTTACTGGCAGTACCCTATACCACTGACGAGTAAAATCGTCTGGCGTTGGACAAGGGAAGGGCGCATTGCCAGCTAATGGGTTAAACCACCGTGGTTAAACATAAGATTTCATGATGCTCCAGGAAATGTAAACAAG